AAAGTCCAACAAAAAAAAAACAAACAAATAAATAAAATGATATTAAAGGTAAGTCATGTTGTCAAAAAGCGCTACGGTATATTCATTTCCGTCATAAATTTCAAGAAACGCAGTAACCCTAATCATTGAAAACTTTTCCCTCTAAAAATCCCGAAAAGAAAAACCCTCGGCTGCTCGTCGGTCGTTGAATTCAAAATCGAATTTCGAATCGATGTTCGCGATTCTCCGAGGCAGACGACTCAGGTTCCTACCGGAGCTCTCTATTTTGGCCGCCCTTCAATTGTGGACTTCTGAAAATGCGTTCTTTTTCAGGGCGTTCACCTCCGGGAAACCACCGCCAAGTGTTCGCGAAAATGACCCTGAGCAATCGTTCGCCTTCTCCTACCTCGTCAGCTCATGCGGATTGGCTCCAGACGTCGCCGCCCGCGCCTCCAGTAAACTCCATCTTAAATCGCCTGAAAATCCTGACGCCGTCTTGAATCTCCTCAGGGAGTACGGATTCACGGCCGCTGACATCTCTGTGATGGTCACCCGGTGGCCAAACGTTCTCTGTTCCTGCCCAGACAAAACCCTTTTGCCCAAGCTCGAATTTTTCACCTCCATTGGCGTCCTCCCCATACTGGCCGGGAAGCTGTCCCGAGCCCCTAACGCCCTATGGTACAGCCTGAAGAACTCATTCATTCCCTCATATGCTTTCCTGAAAAACCTGCTCGGGTCGGATAAGCTGGTAGTGCAAGTCTTTAAACGGGATCCCCTGATCTTCGGCTGGTGTCTAACCGGGGACTTCTCGTCCAACCTCTCGATTCTTGCAGCTCGTGGGGTCCCCTCATCGTCTCTCGTCTCGCTGGTCACGAGCCAGCCACGCGTGCTTAATGCTTCTCCAGAGAAGCTATCCTCGCAGGTGGATCGAGCAATAGAAATGGGGTTTCCCGTGTCCAAAGATGCATTTTTGAAGGCCATTCGGGTTTTGGTGGGTTTTGAGGAGTCGACCCTTAAGCGCAAGATGGAGGTTTATAGACAGTGCGGCTGGTCTGACTCTGACATCAGAACCGCCTTTCTGAGTCAGCCGCTCTGTTTGGCTTTGTCTGAGAAAAAGATATTGAAGAGTATGGCTTTTCTCGTTGATAAATTCGGGTGTGCACCAGGTGACGTGGCTCGGTGCCCTTTGCTTCTTGGGTACAGCGTTGAAAAGAGAATGAAGCCGAGGTGGGCAGTTGCTACGGTTTTGAGTGAGAAGGGGCTGAAGAATGTGCCTGTCACATCCTTGCTGACAGTGTCCGAGAAGATTTTCTTGAAAACCTATGTCGAGAAGTACAAGAAGCATATTCCCGAACTTTTGGACATTTATCGAGGTAATCAAATCCTGGCCTGCACTTCCTGAATGGTTTTTGGTCAATGGATGATGTTAGTTGATGATTTTGTTTGTTGTCTTGGGGGAATTATTTCCAGAATCTTGTTTTCTATGTTACATTCGTAATTCTCTTGCATTTGAGTTGCTGAAAGGTCTTTTCACTCTTTATGAGTTGGTCGATGTTTTCTGTAAGTACTTAGTAGCTATACACTAGTATGAGAATCAAATTGTGTTCCATAGCCAGAACCAGATGTTCTTCTTCTTCATAATCTTTTAAGTATTTTCTGAAGCCAAAACATTTCAAGTGGACTTCTTAAGTCCAACTAACACCGAAGCAGAAAACATCGAACACTTGGTCCTCATTATCCTGTCAGTCATTTGATCAAACACTTGGCGCGTGCTGTTTTTGCTCTGGGTATTGATATCATCACTACCGTGCAATTAGCCCAGATGGGAAAACCATTGTTCTACAAGATTTGGGAAAAGCCAGCTACAAGTTGTATAATTGGGATTTGCAGTGCAATTTGGTTCTACATCCAAAAGAACAACATTGGGTATGCGCATGTGGGCTTGAGTTATGAGACTGCTATGGAGGGCCATCATTGGAGGATAATCACATCAGCCTTTTCTCACATTAGCATCCTTCACCTTGTGTTCAATATGAGCGCACTTTGGAGCTTGGGGGTTATCGAGCAGTTGGGCCATGTGGGACTTGGAGTGGAGTACTATCTCCATCATACGATTCTACTGGTGGTCCTGTCGGGTTTGTTGGTCTTAGGAATGTACCATGTTTTAATCCAGAAGTTGAAGCTCGACTATTTTCGGAGAGTGACTGCGGTTGGGTACTCTTGTGTTGTGTTTGGTTGGATGACGATTTTGTCCGCCAAGCAGCCCTCATCCAAGCTCGAGCTTTTCGGGATCCTCTCGCTTCCAATCAGCTTTGCCCCGTTTGAATCCCTCATTTTTACATCTATTATCGTGCCACAGGCAAGCTTTATTGGCCATTTGTCTGGAATTATTGTCGGGTATGCTATTGCTTGGGGTTTGATACACGGGATGAACAATTATTGGGCTGTATCCATGTTGGGATGGATTATTCTTGTGTTCGTATACAGTTTAAAGAAGTCTGGTTCCTATAATTTTGACTTTCTCGAGATTGAGTCTGTTACTGATCCTTCTTTACCGTATGTGCGCTTTCTGCCGTCTGGAAATAGTAGAACATTGCAGATCAGTGGACTACCTGATGCTGGGGCTAATCTTGTGTAGCTTTCTTGAAATATTTTTGTTTGCTGATATTG